CTTTTTTGCCCCACTCTATGATGTTCTTGAGTTCCATGTCAGCCTGGAAGAATGTAAGTTTCACACTGAAACGATAAGGTTTCTCTCATTAAAGTTAACATTTTTTTTGATTGATTAGGCCAGTAGCATTAAGAGAACAGAAATGTTCCATTACACATTTCATTAGGAAAGAAGAAAGGTTATAAAAGGAATGCCTAAACATTTGAGCTATGAATAGTCATACTAGCTAGAAATTATGGAAATGGCATTTAGAGTATTTTCGTGGTACAAATGGAAAAGTTGTGCTGCAACATGGAAAAATATTTCATCTTATGCTAAAGCCTCTGATAAAATGTTTGTTGGACTTCATCTGATTTTTATCTTCAAGGTTATTGCTGTGGTTATGGATACCTTCACAGATATGGACATCTTCAGTGACCTTCAAGAAGCATGTAGGAAGAGGTTGGTTCCTGTGTATATACTTCTGGATCAGAATTTTCTCTGCCATTTCTTGGAAATGTGCAAAAACTTGGAATTCTACCCCGAACAGGAAAACGTACGTTATGGGACATTTTTATGTTTACATACACACAAGCTGATCATAGATTATTTGAACATAGTTGAAGAGAGGAGAAACTCCTCATCCTGATGTATAGAAGCTTCTACAGTTTTATCTAATTTTAGACAATCGCTATAGTTTGGGGAATGCAGCATTTCCCCCTCCCTTGACTAATATGTGTGGTGCCAAGTTCTTGCAGTTGTCATTATAAAATTATTTTCTGAGATAAGTCTGTTTCTCTAATACTCTGATTTCACTGAAGTAATCAACTATCTTCAGTATTAATGTTATCAATATCTAAGTTGTCTGATTTCAAAAATGGTGTTATCACCTTCAAGAGGAGGTAATGAACTGTCTGCCCTTAAAATGACCAGGCTCTAGAACATCTACTCTGATAAAATAGTTTTACAAGCTATGTTAGAATCTGTACCACAGAGAATGTCATTAGTGTGTCCATGGCTGTAGAAAATAAATCAGTAATTAGATTATCAATAGGAGCATATACTACAATCCTCAGATGTTTGCAGAGTCAATTTGGTTTGTATTCATCAGATAGTTTAAGGAGGATTAAGGTTCTCTATCTGCTATTTATTGGTTGGTTGGTTGGTTGGTTGGTTGGTGGTTGGTTGATTTACATTTTACAACATATGTATACTGTCCCAGTCACCAGCCTAAATTCTTTTATCCTGGTGTATAACTTCTGCCAGGTTCATTGTCCCATTTCAATTCTCTTGTATGCAGATGGTGCAGCCATTTTATCTGTAACCCAAGCGGCCCTTCACAGATGCATAGCTACTTTAGTGTCCTATTCTTCTAGGGAATTCTTTGAAATCAATTGCTCAAAAACTTAAGGTTCTAGTTTTCTTTAGAGTGTACTTTAAGTCTCCATTAAATGGGAAATTAACAAAAGGCTAATTGATCAGATTAAGGACTTCAAATACCTAGGCACCTACTTCTAACCCTCCACCCACCTCAGAACTAATTGAGTGAGCTGTGTATTAGAGCTCAAGAAGTTTCTAACAGAATGTTAAAATATACTAGTCATCAAAGCAATAATTATGCTCCTGTAGCAATAAAATTGCATAAAACAAAGATTCTGGGCTTGTTATATGGTGCATCCTTTATAAGGATGCCCCTACTTTAGAAGCTGTTCAATCTAAGTTTCTGAAAGCCATAGTTTGTGTTCCTCACTCAACTTGAAATACACTTTTTCAGCTAGAATTTGGCTACATTTCTTTTGAGGCGTCCCTGAGACATTGCCATCTCAGATTTTGGTTGAGTCACCTCATCCTATTGGTTCGGTTTTCCTTATTCCTGAAGAGGCAAATTGATTCTGATCTGGCATATTGTGGCCTCTCACTCCTGGCAGTATTGTCACTCAGCCTAGATAAAGCCTTAATCAAACTTAAACAGAGGATTTGAGATTTAGATTTACAAAATGACAGGAGTCAAATTATCCATCCCTATTGTGGCACAATTACAAGTTCTCCATAGTCAATTCCTAGCTACCTCTGTAACATCCTGCATATGTCACACGGGATTTTTTTTTTTTAAACTTGGCTTGAATTGGCATACTACTTATTGCAACTATAGATATAAGATATAAGTATATTTACTAGTCTTCCATACAGCAATTGCATGTATGCTCAGATGTAGAAGTTGAGTCAGTAATCCATGTATTGTTATACTTCTCATTTACTACCTATGGCATCTGGCACTCATAAACCTGATTTTCAGAAATCAGTTGACTCTCTGATCAAGAACTTGCAATTATTCTTTTGGAAGACTTGGACAACCACTAAAAAGATTGCCAAGTTTTTAGGAATATATGGGTTGCAGAAGCTCGTTGATATCCTACAATTGTTTCAGGTTTGGGGGTTTTCCCCCCTGTATTTTTAATTTTGTATTTGTGTTTTGTTGGTCTGGGACCATAAATAAATGCTTTGATTTGGTTTTTGCCATTCTTATTTTTTATACCACTAGTATCCCCTGCAGCAGATAAAAATGTATGGGATTTTCTTGACATTTCTGCATATTCTGGCTTCTGTGCCTATTGGTAAATGAGAATACTGTTTTGCTGTTTGATATTGCACAGAAGGTATAATAGAGAAATCTGCTGTTGGAGACAAGGATAGCATTGTCTTCAAGTATGCTATAATTATATATTTTTGTTTCTGCACTGTCAATCCCATTTTATCACTTTGCCATACCAAAGGAATTGAATGGATGGGGCACAGTTCCATCCTCTTAACTGACAGCAGAAAGAAATCTCTAATCTCATGGAAGGAAAACTATCACTAACTTAAATTTGAACAGATTTAATTCTAGAACAAAGAAATGTATGGAACTCATTAGCACACAGAATAAGCGAGTTGCCCATACAATAACTCCTTGTTTCCATAGTTCATGTGAAAGGAGACTTAATGGTGCCCCAGTCATTTACATTCCACTATATAATATCCCTGCATACCCCATTATAGCTTTCTTTTATATGTGAGTGGTAATACTGGTTGAATACTACAATCAAAGGGCTAATCCTATAGGTTCTGTTTTGTAGTTACTCCTGCTCCATACATTATGTAATTTGACACTAATTCTGTAGCATTTAATTCTATGCCAAACATCAGTGAATGCTTTTGGTTAAACACGTTGCCTTGGTAATTTTGTCTAAAATTTGTGCCATTTTGAAAACAGCTGATGCGAGTCCGAACTATTACTGGAAACACATATTATACAAGATCAGGAGCCAAGATAATTGGGAGTGTCCATGAGAAGTTCATGCTTGTTGATGGTGTAAGAGTGATGACAGGCTCTTACAGGTAAGTATCTGTTACAAATTATGGGAAAACTAGCTTGGTCTCTTGGAAATGGGCCATGGCTTTAATAGGTAGACCAGCTTTCTCCAGCCCAGTGACCCCCTTGACTTGACTTAATTTTCCATAACCCTCCAGTTATATTCAGTTCTTATAATCTAGTACTTCAGAAGGGCATCCATGTGGGGAAAGCTGAATTCCATCTTGGTAGATCTGAGAATGGATGTATGTTGTTAATTTCTAGAATTTCTAAAATTTCACAGAATTTGGTGTGAAAAGTATTTAAGCAAGGCTATGTTTTTCTAAAACATTGTTTTATATTCCTTTTTATGTTAGAATGGAAGTATGGTTTCTTTTTGGGTTTTAGTTTTGATATTTAAACTGGTCTGCTATCAAATTTCTGGTTGGGCATTTCTTCTATTTAGTTGAATCATAGATCAAATGCAATAGATGAATCTTTCCCTGTAAGGCAATGTTTCTTAAACTTTTTTCTCCCAGGATCCTTTTCCACTTTTAAAAATTATGGAGGACTCTAAAACAGCTTTTATTTGTATGAGTTATATTTATTGATATTTACCATATTAAAAATTAAAATGGATGCATTCGCTACCGCTTCTCATGTTTGTTTGATGGGATTTTAATATTGTATTATTTTTCAACAAAGGCTGGCAAGCAATTTTGATTTTACAGACCCCTGAGAAAGGGTCTTGGGGGATCCCCAGGGGTCCTAGGACCACACTTTAAGAAGCAGTACTGTAAGGTGATCCAACAAGCTTCAGCTTTTAAGGGGATAAGATTTCTTTTAAAATGTGGAATGTGGAGAGAATGTGAGTCAGAGGTTATGTTTACATATATTTAAACTGGAATATTTATTGTAAAAAATGATGTTGAGAAGGAGAAAAATGCACTTATATACAGGTTTTCTCCTTTCAGTCCTCCAGTAATAACAAAGGTTATGAATGAGTTTCATCAAGTTAATAATACCACTAACTTGGAGTAGGTCTAACAAGGTCTGTCAGGTCTGACATAAGCTTGTATTTATGCCTAGCCTGTGGGCTAGAGTTTATTCCTTACTATGCTACTTTCAGCCACAGAGGGTTCCAGTCCCGTTGGAGTTCTTGTTAACACTGTTAGTGCAGTGCTGGCTGACATTCTAAATACACCCATATAAATTTCATAGGGCTTTTATTACAAAGGCCCAGAGTAGCTTTGCATTCATTCATAGATAATCTTGTTTACATTGCAAACACTTTAAATCTTTTAACTGTAGAGCAGGTATAGTTTGGTTGTTCATTTGTTGAACTAAGATTAGGAAGGCAGAGATTCAAATTCATTCATGGTATGACTTTGAGCAAGTGACATTCTCTCAGCTTAATCTACTGCAGACAAAAATATCTAACACATCTCTACCCATTCTTCCTTAATCTCTTGTTCAAAATACAGTCATGTAAAAAAGAAAGTACAGCCTCTTTGAGTTCTATGGTTTTCCATATCAGGACATAATAAAAGTCAAATCGTTATTCTCTTCTAGTATAGGCTTGTCCGAATAGCAGTCTAAGAGTTATTTGAGCAACAGTGACTAGAATTTTTGGTTTTCCCTGTTACATAGTTAACCTATTATTTTTCTCTAGAGAACTCTAAGTATATTGAGATGTAAGTCCAAGATAGTACCAATATTTTGTCTTTTATTGCAACTGGGTAATGGGATGGGAAGCTCCTAAATATAGCCAGTCTTTTTTTTTTTTTTTACCAGTTATATATAGGTTGGTGAATATTGAATGAAAAACTAAAAATTTATTTGCCAGTTATTCAAAAATCATAGTAGGGTAATTCTATTGTTTGGTATAAATAAGTTTCTACAGGCTGAAATGTAAGCAAAACTAGATGGAGGAGTGGGGAAAAAAGGGTGTCCTGGAATTTTGTATAGACATTTAGACTGAATTGTGATAGTTGCAGAATAGATTTTACAATGAATAGAGAATTACTAAAATAATGAAAAAGTTATGGCCATTTTCTCATAATAATTTAATTATAAGAGCCAGTAAATAAATACATCCTGCTAATTTGCATAAGGAAAATATACATTAAAGATTACTTAAAAGCATTGCTTTTATTTCCTAATTCCTGATTTCAATAGTTATAAACATAGAAGAGTCTGGAATAATGAGTGTAGATTGGAGTTCTCTGGGTTCGGATCCATGATCGCCGTATGTTCCTGGGTGAATTGTTATTGCAACCTCAACCTATCTGATAAATGGGGATGATTGTCTACTTTAAAGGGAAGAGTTTTTTAATTTATTTTTTAACATATAAATGAATAGTATAATATTTTCTTTTTCCATTTTTCTAGCTTCACTTGGACTGATGGGAAGCTGAACAGCAGTAACTTATTGCTACTCTCAGGCCAAATAGTGGAACATTTTGATTTGGAGTTCCGAATTCTTTATGCACAATCTAAGCCTCTTAACTCAAAGCTGCCTCAAGACTGCAGGACTAGTGTTTGCCATGAGCATCTAGTCAACAAACTAACACCTTGCAAAGATTTCACTGTGAGTAACCTTCTGAGAGCTGAGTTTGCTAGGCTCTCAAGCACCCCCAAGAAGCTTGAAAGAGAAATAGAACAGGTTAAAGAGCTCCAAGGGGGGCGAATGAGTGCTAAACGGCCACACCTTAGTGTTGAAGAGGAATGGCACATTGGTCCTGAGATCCTAACGAAACCTAAGGAAACAATCAGCCAATGCACTCAGACTGAAACTTTAGATGAGAAGCGTGCAACAACACTCTTAAATTGTGCCACACAAACTACTATTCCCATGGTGTCAGCCACCACCCAGACCACTTCTCGATCTAGAATGGTGGGCACTCAGACAACAGTTGTATTCAAGACTTCCATGACACAGACTGACAAAAGAGATAATGTGGAAGTAGCTCTGGCTCAGAGAATACCTGATCAGAGGATTCCTGATCAAAGAATGTCCTCTAAAGAAGGGTCTCCTATTTCTAGAAAGTCTACCTCAACTTCTTCTAGTGCACGGTCACTTTCTTCATTGTCCTCCCAGTGTTCTCGGGCAAGTTCTGCTGGTTCACTAACGTCCCTTAGGTCTATTGACTATACTGTCAATCATCGGGGAGATTATTTCCGCAAACTAAACAAGGAGAGGGAATTTCACTACTCTGTTATCCGATCCAAGCTTAACCACATGGTTTCCATGCTCTCTAGGAGGGGAAATGCGGCTGAAAATTACAGATGTTGCCATCCAATGAGGTGCAATTTAAAACCTAGGCAACAGATTAGTACAAGTCTAATAAATCTTAGAGACTTTGCACTGTATACTTCAAATGACTGCTTCTGAGAAATGCAGAAGGGGAGAGCTTGTATATACATAGTTGTTGGCAAGGGGATGCTTTTCTTATAACTGCCCACTTACTTTCTTTTGTGGTATTACAAGACTTGCTCAACCTTGATTGAGGCATGGAGAAAACCTTGTATGCAGAGGCAATAGGTGGATCTAGCTTAAGAGTACAAAAGAAGGCACTCTTATTTATTTTATTCCATAGGGATTGTTTTGGGTACAGCAGTTGGAGGTACGCCTGGCTTTGTACTTGGGCCTGTTCATTTTGTGGTACCTTATGAATATTTGCGGGGGGGAGAGGGGGACTAAATATTTTTGTCAATGCAGTTTTAAACTTTCAAAAGTGCCTACTAGCTTTTTTAACCAAGGGTATGATCTAATCACAGCTAAACCACTGTTCAAGCCTTGTAATATTTCTCCCAGTAAGTATGGCCTTATCTTTAATAAACAAATGGCAAATTTCTCACCTGTCTTTTGCTAATCTTACTATTACAGTTAGACGTATTGTGTTAATGAATTTACATTTTGAAAATAAAAGCTTGCCAAAAATAAACTTGTTTCCAAAAGTATGCTAAGGCATTGTAGAATCCAAATCTGGTCTCTTATGATTGTATCTCTCTGATAATGTTTACAGTTTCATTCTGAAAATTGTTTGTAGCCCTTAGATCATTAATTTACTGAGTTACAAAATTGCATGTTCAGTTTTGGTGTGATATATTGTGCAAACCATGACTAATGGGTTAACATAATGAACCATCCAGTTGTGGATATCAGTAACTCATGATTTACACAAACTATGCCATTGTAGGATTTGTGAACTTGGCTATTCTTTCTCAAGAGCCTTTTTGAGGTAGATCCTTCATCTTTGGTGATGAAGGATCGCGAGAGAAAATGTTTAATGTATAGTTAGCATGCTTAATGACAACGTTTTAAAGTTTATATTGGAGTAAGATGATTATTTAGTTCATTTTATAAAGGAACCATTACCATACCGCAGGAAAAACTGATTTCACATTAATAGAAAACTGGAGGCTAATTGCTAATAGGTCTGTGCAAGCATTAGAAGGGATGCTTAACAAAGTGAGTACAAGCAAAATACCCTTGAAGCAGCTGTGTTATCTAGAAGATTCAGCATAGCTACTTCAAAGGCTTTCCTATGTTGTCTATGCTTGTGTGTGCATGCATAGCTGCTTCAGTTAGCAGGCAATCCTAATGGATATGTCTGTGCTTGTGTACCCAGACAATTTGGGAAAGCCTTTAAAACGGATACCTTATGGCTGCCAGGATGTTTTGCTCCTAGCAGTGCACTTGGCAAAGAATCTTTTGAATGCTCAGCACAGCCCTACTTGCTAAACATGTTAAATAACTGGATCTTGGGTGGTGGTGACAGTTCAGATAAGTTTAATTTTTGGAAATAGGAGAGCCAATTCCCTCTGCTTTTACATGGAAATATCCTTTCTTACTGTAAAGGCCAGATCTTTTTAATGGAAAAAACAAATATTTAGCCATTTGGATCATTCTAACTTGCAGGGGGACAATCTAATGGAAGAATCGCCATTCAGTTAATCTAATGTGGCAATTGTTATAATGCTTGCTGTTCTCTCCTTAGATTTGTTTTGAGGTGGCATAAACACTCGTTAATATATTGAAGGGTGTTATTACATACCTAAAGAAGTTTAAACTTCCTGTAAATATGGTAAACTAGCAGGAGAACATCTATGAACTCTACAGAAATCTGGGGCCAAAGATGGAAGTTCTACAAAATACATAATCTGAAACACTAAACTGTCAGCTTTCATAACTCAGCAGACTGGCTATGTCAGAAAGTTGCATTATGTTGTCTCATGGTTAATCACAGTTGGATATCCAGACTACTGTTTCAAGTTAGTTAAAGAAGATCCAAATCAGTTGAAAGGGTGTTGTTTCACATGTTATCTAAACCCAGATGGGGATTATATTCTGCTCTCTGTACAGGAAATGGGCTAGAGTAGCCACCATAGTCTAGCCACAGGTCCTGTCTTTTTCTACCCACACCCCACCCATATAAGGGATGAAGGGTGGGGGGAATATTTGTAAGAGAAGGCTGATCTTCCTCCCAGCTTCTGTATTATGCCTCCAGTGCAATTGGGCCACTTTATTATTTTTTTCAAGGCAATAGTTTATTAACAAACCACAGAAGTCTCAGACTGGGTTGAGTATGGCATACTGTAAGTGGCCAACAAAGCATAGATAGGAACAGTTTGCAGTGGCATTTGGTATCAAACCCATGGTTAGTGCTAGACTATTGAGCATGTCATGATCACTATATGTTACACAAGCTTTACTAATAGGAGCCTCACAGAAGTAAACAAGCAGCTTAATGGTGCAATATCCCACTTCAAAAGTTTTTGGACAAAAAAGGCTACATATAACATGTGCATAAGTTTAATGTTCAAGATGAAAATCAGACTGCCTGTCTTTGGTAGCTGAAATTCTGGCTGTGGGTGTGGGACACTGTTGGGTTCTATGTGACATATATTTTTAATTTGCTTAATCCATCTAATAATTCTCAAATTGCAAACAATTGTTACAAGATCACCCTTTTTTCATTTATTTTGTCATATCAAATCTTTTATGTCATATGCATGTATGTGTATACATGAATAATATTCATTTTCTTTTTGAAAATTAGCTGGCAGATTTAGTGCCAGAAAGAAAAAAAAGTAACAAAAATAAATTAGGTAATTATACTAGGAAGAGCACATAATTTGAATACCAATGTTTATTCTTTAGCATAATACCTAAATAAAATGGGTTTCACTAATATGAAAAAAGGAACTGACCTATATGATTTGCACCAAGTTTGTGCTTGATTCACAAGTGCAGTTACCAGCCCGCAAGGAGAACCTGAAGGTAATTGTTCTCTTTTTCTAATGATATTCTGCAGCTTGTATTTAAAGACTTGCTATCTCTGATAATAGAGGCAATATTGAGCATGGCTAGGAGCTGATTGTGGTCTACTTAAAAGAAGCTGTTTAGAGTTGCAGATTTTATTTGTATCCTACCTTTCAAGAAAGGAACCCCCCTAAAGTGGCTTACAAGCAGTAGAAGCAATTATGGATAATAAAATAAAGAATTGAAAAGCAAACTGAAAATCCTTTATTCAGTGTACCTGGGGAGGGGGAGAAAAAAATATATTTAAAAGTTATGCCATTATTTGGTTGTAACAATTTTGCTAGCCCATTTAAGTTTGTATTAAGTTTGTCAGATGTGTGACTTTTTAAAAAGAATAACAGATTCAGGAATCTTAACTAAACAGGAACAGGAATACTTAAACTGTCTCCTCCCTATTTTTGTGTGCCTGTTATATGGGAGAAACATGAGATATAAGATGAAAAAGGTTTCCTTGGTAATCTAGTCTAGCCACTGATCATAGTAGTGATGGGAGCTGTGCAGGCCTCCATGCTGAATATGTCTACTTTTACCTCTGGTAATTCAAAATGCCAACATAATGTCTGTGACTAATAGCTTTCTATTAAGGAAAGGCACTTTCCCTATCCTAATATTACAGTGTAATTGGTCTTAACATGTAGTCTTAAGGAACAAATTATTTGTTCCCTCTTATGCACAACAACGTGCTTGACTCCCCTTTCTCCTTGCTACTCTATGCTAAACTTGCTTATTTCTACTCTCCCAAGAGAAATCTATTGATCTTTTGGAATGAATTATATATCACCTTTATGCCACAATACCTAGGCAATTTTCAGTTTATAGTATGCTTAAAAAAAACAAACCTCAAGCATATAAAATCTCGAGTCAGCTTGGCTCCTGGTGATTTAATGGATGTGTCCACACAGCAATCTTGGGAACAATAATGTTAATGTATAACATAACAGTGTATTTTATCTTTTCAGAAGCTGATTGTATAGGCTCCCCCACTTTTGGTCTTTTTATTGGGGAATGTAGGAATTATTTGGAGCCCCCCCCCAAAAATGGGGTCAACTATCACAGCCTTATGGATTGCTTCTCACTTAAAAGAAATTATTCAATACTATACACATATCTCCCATGAAATGTCCAGTTTAATGTCTGCTGTGCTTGTTTCAGATGCTTCCAGAATATTTAAGGTATTTCATCTGTGAACCTCTAAGTTTGCTATGTTATGGCTGAAATGAGATGACAGCTTATTTCCAGGGCACTCCCCCCTGACCTTGCAATCACAACAGGGACCAGGTTCAATTTCCCACTTTACATAATCCTGTCACGCCCAAAGGAACTATTCCTGCCCATAAACAAAGCCCACCACTAATCTCTTCCTCACTGAAAAGTATTGCTCACCATTAATAAAGGCAAAATGAAATTGACGGAGACAAAGCTAATATTGCAAAAAAAATAAAATAACTGGGCGATGTGTACTTAGTCCCAGCAACTTCATCTGTTGGCTAACAAAGATGACTTTCCAGCACTGTTGCTGCCTCTAAATAGTAGTTTTCCTTAATAACATTGCTCTCCTTACACAATCACATTTATCTGGTTTTCTTTATATAGTCCCAAGTTCCTGACAGCAAATCAGAGCCCAAGAATTTTCTGCTCTACAATTCAAATTTCTTGTAAAAGATCTTACCTTTCTGTTCTCTGTTCCTCTCCTTGTAAAGCTGGAACTCAGCAACTGTTGAAATAAATGGTGGCTCTGACTTCTGGTGGAGGCATGGCAAACTAAACACGTCTCCAACAGATATGGAGATGACGACTACAGCAAAGACTGAAGAACTGGTGAGTAGACTGGTTCTTTGGAACCTCTCCTAATAAGGAGAGGATTTGAGATCACCCACATGTGCTCCAGGCAGCTGCTGTTGTGAGGAGACTACAGGACAGCAGTCTCCCGTGAGTGAGAGCCAGACTGACTACAATGGCATGACAAAGTAGCAACAATGGTGCATTGGAATATCTGCAAGAAATACCATTTGCCTGCAAGCAAGAACTGATGGGACCACAAAACAGACCAAGTCATAGAAAATGAAGAAGCTAAAATGCTCTGGGATTTTAGAAGGCAGACAGACAAGCACCTGCCACACAACACCCCACACTTATCAGTTGATAAGAAAAAACAAAGTCTGGATAGACAATACCTGAAGACAGCAGAATAGAAGAGAAAGAACTGGAGAAAATCACAAAATATAAAGA